TAGCTTTATGATATATTAGGTTAATTTGATGGTGACTTTTAGTTAACTATGATAATGCTTTTAGCTTTATGATAATTAAGCAATGGAATTGAGTCAAGTTTTTAAATGCATATACTTTGTGTTTTTCATCTTGCATGCCTTGATTTGGGTTCTGCTTGGATCTATGATATATTCATTTGGGTGAGTGCCTTCTTTATGCCTTGTCTTAGGTGGTAAAACTGTCTTAGCACCTTCAGTGTGCCAATGACTGCACTGACTTTTCAAGTCTGTTTATGGATTTCTATCTGCTAGGTATATTTGTTGTGACAAGTTATTTGGGATCTAGGATTATGATAAAACTTTCTTTTTCAATATTGCAGGTGACATCTATTAGAAAAGGAATGTGGGATAGCACCTATGATACTATCCAAGCCGGCAGACAATTTGAATTAACTAACACTGCTGATAATCATTCGGAATATGAAAGCATTGATGTTGAACCAAGTGAGAAGGATGCATCAATCCTCACAAATATACATTGTAAGTAGTTTTCGCTTGATGCTATTGTAAAAAAAAAAAAAAGGTTCTACTATGCTTTCGTGCTTTCAATTTCTTCCTTCTTTATGAAACATGGTTGAGTAGTTCAAGAATATTTCTTTTTCTTCTTGTGCTTTTACACTAAAAGGCAGTCCTTTTTGTTTGTGTCTGTGGGTTGAGTGGGGTGGATGAGTTCCTTGGTAATTCTTCAGTTGTTAGTTAGTTAAACTACTTTTTGTTTGTAGCTTTATTTTAATAATTTGCTGTTTTTCTACAAATAGGCCTAATTACTGATTGGATTGTATCTGGAATTATTGGGTCTTTTTGATAGTTTTGGTTTTTTTGGGGTGGTTCTTATTCCAAAAGCTAATAATTTTAAAAATTATACTGAAATTAGGATTAGTAAATCTATGGCTTGAGATATTCTGTTGTAGTTTGATGTTCACTAGATTTTATTCTCTTGTTTCTTTCTTTGTTCAGATTCTAGCATTGTTGAATTTTTTTTTTTCTTTTGAAAGTCTAATTGTCAATTTTTCTTCTGTAAGAACTGTTGTAATCACCTTCAGTGACTCATTGTTTATAGCTTGAGGTTTTATGGTCACCAGTATTTGCTTTGTTAGGGTAGCATGGGTTGTTCTGGGTTGAGTGGTTGATTTGTTACATGAACAAAAGGAAGCTTTGGAGATGTGGAACTTAAGGAAGGTTAAAGCTTGGTGCCATTTTTTATGTGGTTATTTTGGAGAGAGACAGAGAGTAAATATCCTAATAGTTGATGTGGCTTGTTGAAAGAGAATGAAATAACCAGATCAACAAATGATTTCCAAAAATTTGAAAGGTTTCCTCCTCTGCATAACTTTCATTTGACTGCCAAGGCATAGATTTGTGTGTGTGTGTGTAAGTGGTAAAGCAATGACAAGGATGCAGGTGCCATGCAGCTGCCAAATATGTTATCTTTTTTCCAACCACCTGATTTTGTGCAAAAATAGTTTGTTGCTTTTTTGACTCCTCACTCCTCTGGCTCTTTTCTTTTGAATATTTTTGTTGCTTATTTGATATAACTGACTAACTGAGTTTACTCTATTCGCAGATGTGACAGCAGAAGATGTCATCAAGAAAATTATTGCTTATTTTGAGCTTAATCATGAAATTCATGGTGGTAAAGCACATAAAGAGCATAAGTTAATTTTTCTGAGAAAGCTGTTTAAGTGTGAATCTTGGCTGGCTGAGCAATTTAATGTTAGGGAGTTCAAGTCCCTTGCACATGGGGAGTTCTTCATGTTCCTAGAAAGACATGCTTCTTTATTACCTATTGAGCTGCAGAAACTCTTGGCTGCTGAAATATGTGAAAAGTCTCCTTTAGAGGCTTGCATTCTCCAGCATCTGTTGATTGTTTTAATATCACAAGCTTCATGTAATTTAGACAATCAAATTATTACCAAGGAGATTATTCATGCACTGCTCATCAAGCAGTTTCCATTGTTCAGATTCAAAGTTAAGGAAAATGGTTCTATGGAAGATTTTCTGGAAGTTATGGAGAAGTCCAAAAATGATATAAGTTCCAAATGTGTCTTGTTTTCAGCATCACTATTGGGAATGTGCCATAATGGTGATTCATTGGCCTATGATGAGAACTATTCATCAGAAACTAATTCTGTCCCGAATGCTAGGATGGATAAATCAGTTGCTTCCAAGGATGCAATGGCTGTTTTGCTTAGGGCCCCAATGTTGTCAGATTTAAATTCATGGTCACACTGGGATGTTCTATTCGCTCCTTCTCTTGGTTCTCTAATAGTTTGGTTGCTGAATGAAGTCAATGCAAAAGAGTTGTTGTGCTTGGTGACTAAAGATGGGAAAGTTATTCGGATTGATCACTCAGCGACTATAGATTCATTTCTGGAAGCTTCTCTTAAGGGATCTGCCTTTGAAACAGCTTTGAAGCTACTGTCTTTGTGTTCTCTAACTGGGGGAATAAAGCACCTTCCCTTAGCCCTTCTAAAACACCATGCACACATGGCTTTTGATGTCCTTTTGAAGAACCATATGGAGAACATGGAAGTAGCTGATGATCAGAATTCTATCATGAATGGAAAGGCATTACTTAGGTCAAAATTGCTGCAAGATGTTTCTGTTGGTAATTTGGGTAATGAATTACAGATGAACTTGATCCAATTGAATAAAGCTGTGTCTCACGCTTCAAGATTTTTCCTTGATTGTCTATGTTATCTACCTTCAGAATTTCATGGTTGTGCTGCTGATATATTGCTTCATGGGCTACGATCAGTAGTTAAAGATTGCCCTTCTGCTATTTTGAGTGAATGCAATGAACTGAGACAGCGTGTTATGCTACACGAAGTAGGCTTATCACTTGGCATAGTGGAGTGGATACAGGATTACCATACATTTTGTTCCACTGATATAAGTAACATCTTTCTGTCACCTGAGGGATTAGGAATGAAAACTGGTAGGTCTGAGTTAAAAACAAGGTCAAACTATATGCAAAATGCAATAGATAGGCTTTCCTATGCTGAGAAAGAAATCAAAGCGTCTGATAGGTCAGACAAGCAAGAAGTTCGTCAGGTGATTGATGGGGCAGAAGTTTCTTCTGAGGGATTGGGCAACAAGAACAGAAAACAATCATCCGAAGTTGATGAACAGACAGATCCAGCCTTGGTTATTGAGTCAATCAGGCGAGATGAGTTTGGTCTGGATCCAAGTCTTTCAGATATGGAGAGTAGCATGTTAAAGAAGCAGCATGCTCGCTTAGGGAGAGCACTACATTGTCTTTCTCAGGAGTTATATTCTCAGGACTCACATTTTCTTCTTGAGCTTGTAAGTTTGATTTTTGTTTTCTGTCTTTTTTAAGTTGTGTCCAGTAGGATTGTGTATGCTGTGAAATGTTGCTTAAATTGGATTTTGGCCTCACAGTTTGTTATGAAACTTAATTTCTAAACTACAAAAAAGACTAGTGGGAAAATTCTTTGCCATAGTTGCTGAGAAATATGTTAGAGGACATATTTAGATTTTAGATATTTCATCTGGGGTATCTGTATTCCTGAAGGTCTTTATTAATAAGTTCCAGAAGGCAACAAAGGCAGTTGTTTTTTTGGTTGATTAACCTGTGCATATTCCTCCTGTGATCTTTCTTACTGTGGACCCACTGGAGCAGCATCGTATTTTTTGCATGTTAGTTCGATATTTTCAATACTAAGTTTGTTGGTTATCCTAAAAAAATGTTTATGACACATTGGTTATTTTTTCTATGTTGTGTGATGTTTAGTATATTGGTCAATGCAACGTTTGTTTGCTTGATTAGGTATTCCCTCTAGCTGACAATAACTGTCCTCTTTGAAAAAGCTTAAGGAAGCATTATAACACATAGCACTAATTATAATTGACAGCTTTGTTTCTCATAAATAGAGTAGTTTTTTGGTTTTCTTTGCCCCTAGTTAGTAAAAATTATGAAGAGTGTTGTTAGAAGTTAGTTAATTAGCCTTTGACTTTTGATTATGGACAATATTTTTGGGACAATCAAAATAGAGATGAGGGCCCTTATAATGGGATAGAGGATTGTTAAATTTTACTGAACTTCTGCTGCTAAACGGTGAAGTGTTAGCTACATCTAATTAAGCTTTGTGTTGCTTCAGGTTCAAAATGCTGATGATAATGTCTATTCTGGAAACGTGGAACCAACACTAACATTTATTCTTCAAGAATCGGGTATCATTGTTTTAAATAATGAGCAAGGCTTTTCTGCTCAGAACATCAGAGCTCTGTGTGATGTTGGAAGCTCGACAAAAAGGGGATATGCTGGATACATAGGGAAGAAAGGCATTGGCTTCAAATCTGTGTTTCGGGTATGCTGAAAGCAACAATTTTATCTATTTATTTTCTGGCTCTTTAATTTATATTATCTCTCTCTGATTTGTTCTGTTCAAGCAATGTTGTAAGCTACCTTGTTTTCATATCTTGAGTAAAGGATATACCTAAAGGTGTGTCAACCATTGAGTGACAGGGGGGGGGTGGGGTGGGGAGGAGAGAGGATAGATACAATAGGTGTTAAACAAGACAAATATTGTGCTTGAATCCTATAGTTCAAAGCAATGTTTAGGACCTAACTTCTTTGAACAGGAAAACTTTATACTTCTGTCAAATTAAACTTGTCCATTTTCTCTTTCACATCCAATATGCAATTATGGCCAAAACTTCAGTTATTCTCTTTCTGACAATTCAAAAATGGTCACTAGATTGTTAGTCAATGATTATGGACATAATGATTTTTTTCCTGCATTAAGGTTGAATATACCACTTAGTGTGCTGAAATTACTTAATAATATTGTTTACATTTTTTAAAGGTAGATCTTTTTTATTTCATTTAGTGTTTTTTCATATGTTAGATAATACATTAGATTTGGACTTAACAGCGAAGGAGTTAATTTCCTGTGAGTTATAGTTTCAATTTGGATTTGGACTTTCTGGTGGCATGGTCAAGCGAAGTTGTGATTTGCTCAGTGTCATTCTTTTGAAGTCAGAAGATTCAGTGTGAAGAATTTGATATTTTGCCAACATTGTAGGAAATCCATTCCTATACGAATGCTAAAAGTCCTCAAGTGGAATTAAAATTATGGACCTTCATTTAAGAGTATACTGGTAGGAAGAGCCCTTTTTCCAATATATCAAACTTTTTATCTATTATGCCCTCTTTTGTTCTGTTCTATAGTAACTGTTACCTGCGTGTTTTAGTAGTCAGCCCCTTTTGTTGATTCTGTCCCCCATTGAAACTTACCCAATAACTTGAGTAGCCTAAAAATCGTTTCCAATATACCTCAACAAACTAAACCTTTTCCCATTTTGTCAGAGTTCGGTTATACGGATCAAACTGCACAACTTGGCTTTATGCAATACTATGTATGTAGGAAGCTTTAGTCAAATTGAGGTCTTTTTTAATAATTTTATTCTTGTCCTCTTTGGTGTTTCTCTCCTCACTTGATATGACTATCCTCCTTTCAGTTACATTTTCTGAGGGGGAATTAGTAGGTCTCCTCTTTTTATGTCCAAACAACTTGACTTATGGTTTCTCATTGTTCCCAATGAATGTGAAGCCACCCTTTTCCCTTATGCACTCTTTCCAAATCATATTTCCGTGTATGCCTGCACATCCAGCATAACATTCTCAACTTAGCGACATTCTTTTTTTTTTTTTTGTTTTGCATATATTGATTCTTAGTTGTCCAATATCTAGCTGGTGCAACATTTCTAGTCTTACCAATGTGTTGTGAAATTTTACCATAAGTTTCACTGGAATTTTGTGATCACACAACATTGCTTCCAATATCATATATATATATACACATATTTACCTCATTGTTGGATCTGTGTTGAAAATACTTAATTTAATATCCTTCAGATAATAAAAAATGATAAAAGGCTGCCTGGTTTAAGTTTACCAGTATATCTGTTCAACCTAACATGTTTTTGCATTTTCAATGGACTTACTTGATTTGACTAGCATTTGCTTCTTCCACTATCTCATTATATTATTTAGTATGCTGATCACTACAACTCACTTGAAACTTTTTCCTGCACTCTTTGCTACAAGAATCTCAATTGAAAGGTACTTACTGGGTGTATTGTGTTAATTACTGGTTTCTATGAGTTTTTTTTGGGCATTTTGCAGGTTACAGATGCTCCTGAGATTCATTCCAACGGATTTCATGTCAAGTTTGATATAAGTGATGGTCAGATAGGTTTTGTTTTGCCAACTCTAGTACCTCCTTGTAATGTTGACTCTTTTAAAATGCTGTTGAGTGGATGCAATAATCAGCTGGATAATAAGTGTTGGAACACTTGCGTTATTCTTCCTTTTAGATCAGTAACATCTAACGGAAATGATATGAACAATATTGTCTCCATGTTTTCCGATCTTCATCCTTCCTTATTACTCTTTCTCCACAGGCTCCAGTGTATTGTGTTTCGGAACTTACTCAATAATTCTTCTATTGTTATGAGAAAAGAAATTGTGGGTAATGGTATTGTAAAGGTTTCATGTGGGACAGATAACATGACATGGTTTGTAGCATCCCAGAAGTTGCAGGCTGATATTATTCATCGTGATGTGCAACTAACGGAGATTTCTATAGCATTTACACTGCAGGAGTCTGAATGCGGGTGTTACACACCATTTCTGGACCAACAACCTGTTTTCGCTTTTCTTCCTTTGAGGACATATGGTCTGAAATTTATTCTTCAAGGTGATTTTGTTCTTCCTTCATCGAGAGAGGAAGTTGATGTAGATAGCCCCTGGAACCAGTGGTTACTGTCAGAGTATCCCAGTTTGTTTGTTTGTGCGGAGAGATCATTTTGTTCTCTCCCTTGTTTCGAGGAAAATCCTGGAAAAGCTGTCACAGTCTACATGAGTTTTGTTCCGCTTGTTGGGGAAGTGCATGGATTTTTTTCTTGCCTTCCTCGAATGATCATCTCTAAGTTACGAATGTCAAACTGCTTAATTATGGAAGGAGACAAAAATCAGTGGGTACCCCCTTGCAAAGTTCTAAGAGGCTGGACTGAATCAGCTCGTAAGCTTTTTCCTGATGCCTTTCTCCATGATCACCTTGGACTTGGATATTTGGACAAGGACATTGTTTTCTCTGATGCTTTGGCTAGGGCATTAGGTATACAGGACTATGGTCCCAAAGTTCTTGTCCAAATTATATCTTCTTTGTGTCAAAGAGAAAATGGCCTTAAACCTATGGGCCTACCTTGGATATCATCTTGGCTGAACGAGTTTCATACAATCTCATTTCATTCTTCTGGGCAGGCCTCACTCAATTGTGAAATAGAAACAGTTCTCGTAGATAATCTTAGGAAAATTCCATTTCTTCCTCTGTCAGATGGTACCTTTAGCTCCGTTGATGAAGGTACAATTTGGTTACACTCCGATGCCATAAATAATGGGTTTGAAGGGGAGCTCGGGCTTGAAGCTTTTCCTACATTGTATGCTAAACTTCGGTTTGTTAGTCCTGCCCTATTTTCTGCATCAGCTGTCAGTACCTCTTACGTAGATATGACTCTAGTAGGAAACATTACTAGTGTGCTTCAGAATATTGGTGTCCAACAGCTCTCTGCGCATGAAATCGTCAAGGTGCATATTTTGCCAGATATATCTGATGAAAGAATCAAAACTAGAGACAGGAATTTGATGATAGATTACCTCTGCTTTGTGATGATTCACTTACAATCTAGCTGTCCGAGTTGTCGTGTTGAGAGGGATTTCATTATCTCAGAGTTACGAAATAACGCTTTTATATTAACAAATTATGGCTTTAAAAGACCAGTTGAAGTATCAGTTCATTTTAGCAAAGAATTTGATAACCCTGTCAATATAAATAGGTTCATAAATGACTTGGATGTGAAATGGCATGAGGTTGATATCATGTATTTGAAGCATCCAGCTTCCAGGTTGCTCTCATCTGGTTTGAAGAAGTGGAGGGATTTTTTCCTGGAAATTGGTGTCACAGATTTTGTGCAAGTGATTCAACTTGATAAAAGGTTTGCTGATATGTCTCATTCTGTTATTCAGAGTTTCTTGTCGGATTGGGACTTAATTTCCCCAGGATCAGTTGTCAAGGATTGGGAATCTTATGAGTTAGGTCAGTTATTATCCCTATTGTCCTCAAGTGGCAATCAGGAAGGCTGTATGTACTTGTTGGAGGTTCTTGATGAACTTTGGGATGATTATTTTAGTGGGAAAGCTGCTGGTTGCTGCAATCTGAAATCATGTGGTGATAGTAGACCTTTCAAATCTTCATTTTTGTGCAAAATCTGTGACATCCAGTGGGTGGTATCTAGCATGGATGATAAGCTTCACTATCCTAAAGAGTTGTTCCATGACTGTGATCCAGTGCGTTCAATCCTAGGTGCATTTGCTCCATATGCTGTTCCAAAGGTTTGTTTGATATTGATATTATCATTTGATGATGGCATAAAATTGTTTCTTCTCATTGAACCTTCTCTCTGAAAGTTCTGAAGGTTGTGTCAAATCAATAATTACTCTTACAACAGTAAGAAATTTTACTTCTTCCCTTCAGGATAAGAATTTTGCTGACTTTAAATCCAATGTTATATGCTTCTTTTTAGGTGAGAAGTGGAAAGCTAGTAAATGATATTGGCTTTAAAACTCAAGTTACACTTGATGATGTCCTCAAGGTTCTAAAATTATGGAGATCTGAGACCCCTTTCAAGGCCAGGTATTACTGCCATTCTGCTATGATGTTTGAGTCTTTGGAATAGATACATATTGTTTGATGAAATAAGTTTGGCTACTTCCAAGGCTTCTCGTTTGACATGGTTGGATGGTGGATGATGTTTCACTAATCCCTGAACATCTAACCAATTGGTGATATTACAACACTGTATGTTATGATACAGAAACTAATTATTGAGAACATAGTTTATCTTCTCTTAATTCTAGCATAATTGAAAGATATCTATCAGTTTTGTTTTGATTGAAGTACTAATTTTATCAATATGATAATCCCTGATTTTGCCATTACATGTAAAGTTGATAAGTGGGAGGAAAACCTTGACAGATACATCTGCCTTTAAATTTTGTGTAGGTGACCTTGGGAAAGGATAAGAAGTTTTTATTTGTAAAATTAGGTGACTATGTTGTGGGTACTTTGGTGGGCAGTTCCTCAAGTTTTTCTTCTTTCAGAAATATATACGTTTTTGTGTATTTTTGTGTTCATTTTAGGGATTCTGATATTCTTTTGTTTCTCACTGGGTTCTACAATTAATTTTAACCTGTTTCAAAAAATTTTGCAGAATGTTGTGATATGATTCCCCCCATTGTGAAGAATTTTTCTTTATAGCAACATATATTAGTTTTCTCATACTATGAATGTAGGGCTCTGAATATCTGTTCTATCTGCATTGACCTTTATTTCTGTGTCTATAACTATTTTATTTTTCATATACCCCCTCTCATTTGAATTTAACTGACTTATTTGGATGCCAGCATAGCACAAATGTCCAGATTATATATATTTATTTGGAATGAAGTACATAACGCAACGCAGAAAATTGCTGAGGAGTTCCACGCAGCACCTTCTATATTTGTTCCATACCATTCTGCTTCAAGGCCTGACGATGTGGTGTCTGGCATATTCTTGTGTTCTGAAGAAGTATATTGGCATGATTCGACTGGAATGATGGACCAAATGATGCATAATCATTCTCAGTCTGGCTCATTTGTTGAGAATCAGCGCCCCTTAAACAGAATATTGTCCAATGTTTATCCAGGTCTCCATGACTTTTTTGTTAATGAATGCAAAGTGCCTGAGAAACCTTCTTTCTGTGGTTACCTTGATATTTTGCTGCAGCTGTCAACACTTACTTTGCCTTCGCAAGCTGCTAATGCTGTAAGTGACTAAATCCAACAGAGTTTATGTTGTCCCTCAATCAGCCATGCTATAATCTAATCTATTCTTTAATGTCTTAGGTTTTCCAAGTGTTTCTGAAGTGGGCTGATGGACTGAAGTCTGGATTACTAAGTTCTGAGGATATCATTCACATGAAAGACTGTCTTACTAAATCAGAGTATACTGTGCTTCCCACTGTACTAGATAAATGGGTTTCCTTGCACCCGTCTTTTGGTTTAGTGTGTTGGTGTGATGACAACAAGTTAAGGAAGAGATTTAAGCACTTCGATAATATTGATTTTCTCTACTTTGGCACTCTCAATGATAATGAGAAAGAGTTACTTCAGACTAAAGTGTCCATTCTAATGCGAACCATAGGGATTCCTGTTCTTTCTGAGGTAAGATATCTGCTTATTTGTGTGTGATTGAAAAGCAAGTAGTTAGGATGTTGAAATTTTTTACCTTCAAGTGTCTGGAAACTCAATCATATGGGTTAAGCATTTTGTCTGTTTCACTTTCCTTTTTTAATAACAAGTTCTCTGATTTGTTCTTGGTATATTTGGAATTCTTGTGATTTCATTCCAAATATTGTTAGAGGAAATTATATTTTATTTGTCAAAGAGATGCTTTAAATGTTTTATTTTGTACAACTGTTTATAAGATTTTTGATATCTCTGATTGAACCCATGGAAGCTTCACATAGTTCAAAATGTCATGCAGGTAAGGATGATCTTCATTCAATTTTCAGTACATGCACCATTTGCATAGTCAGCATACTCGTTACTTAAGTTTTTAAAAGTTAAAAAGTTATGATTTTCTGCAACTTATGCAGTTTTCTCATGATCTGCTATGGTTTTTGTTTATTTGTCTATGTCCCTCCCTTTTTTCTCCAATGTGTTCTTATTAATACAGACTATTATTAATGCCTACTTATGAACCTTTAGATGCTAAATCCACACCAGTAGACCAGCACATGGCCACAGACACATCTACTTACTTAAAAATATCATTTGTTGGAAATAAGGGGTTAGCTCAGGTTATTACTAGAAGGTTAGAAGTCAGAACAAATATTTCGTGAAGTTGAAGGGCAGTTACCTTTGTATCTGTACTAAAAATGTGACCTCCTGAACCCTTTGTATCTATGCTAAAAATGTGACCAACTGAATGTGTATCTCCTTTCTCTGGCCCTCATGCTTTTGCTTTTACATAGGTTGTTACTCGTGAAGCAGTATACGATGGCCGAGCAGATGGTAGCTTCAAAGCTTCCTTGGTGAACTGGGCTCTTCCTTTTGCACAACGCTACTTATACAGTGTTCATCCCAATAATTATATTCAACTTAAGCAATCTGGATTTGATAATATAAATCATTTAAAAATTGTTGTTGTTGACAAGCTGTACTACAGGAATGTCATAAAGAGCTGTGGCATTGTGGCGAAGAAGCAATTTAAATGCACCTGTCTTCTGCAGGTATGGAGTGGATTTTTTTTTTTTGTTTATGTGATCTATAAAGCCTACTGAAATTAAAGATCTGGCAGGATTAATGTTGAAAATTTGTCTGTAGGATAGCAGCACCCTCCGTTGTACTTTTATTGTTTATTCTTAGATGTTTTTATTTGATAAATTATCTTCTTATGTGAAATGCATAAGAGCATAAAATTCTGTGCTGTGCGTGGAAGTAGCTTAGATGCTTACTGTAATGCTGAAGTATAAAGTGATTATTTTATTGTGCTTCGACAGGCTAGATACATGGCATGTGTTAACAACATTATGCAGACTGCATAACATGGTGTCTTACATCTTGCCAGTTTTAAGATTGCTTATCTTTAGCATAAACGATGACTAGTTATGTCCACACTGTAGTCTACAGTCCCTTGATGAGAAAAATTAAATGATGGAATATCTATTTTGTCCATTCATTCATGTATTTCATTTCAAATAAATTAGTAAATCTGACTAGTCAAACCATAGTTGGCTTTCTGGTTATACAGAGAAATAGATATTATCTCCAATTTTATATGGTAAATATTAAAACCTTTTATTTAATTTTTACAGGGTAATATTTTGTACACCACTCCTGAATCAGATTCTCATGCCTTATATATGGAGTTTTCTCGCTTGTTATTTGATGGAACTCCTGATTTGCACTTGGCAAATTTCCTTCACATGGTCACAACTATGGCAAAATCTGGTTCTAATGAAGAACAGACAGAGTTTTTCATCTTGAACAGCCAAAAGGTGCCAAAACTTCCTGATCAAGAACCTGTTTGGTCCCTTTCTTTTGCACCGAATGAGGCACAAAATAGTGAATTTCTTGAGAATAGTTCTGCCCCAACAGCAGTAAATGAGCAATCCACTTCCAAGTCCAAGAAAAAAACAGAGATTTACTCAAACTGGCCACCTGTGGATTGGAAAACAGCACCTGGTCTCAGTAAGAGACAGGCACCTATTTCACAACCTAATGATGGCTCAGAAAAGCATACATATAATGGTTCTGAGGTCTCTGATTCACATACCAGCAGTGGTGTTCCAGTTGAGATCAAGACTGGTATGTCCATGGGAGACAATAAGGCAACAACCTCAACACTTCTAATTTTGCCAGATTCTGAACGTATGGAATGCGAACATGGCAACGCTTGCGGTCCAGCTGATTCCAGTGTGAGAATTGCATTTGATCCTGTGCATACAAGTCTAGTGGCGGATAGCCCTGAGCTGGTTTCATTTGAATGTAGCAAGAGAAATCAGCTTAATACCGGGTTTAGTTCAGTTGATTTTAGCCAGAGAGATCAGCTTCATACTGGCACACCCTCTGCAGCACAAGCTTTGCTAACTGGGAAACTGGGTGAGCTTGCTGCTTTCAAATACTTTACTGGCAAGCTGGGTAAGACAGTGAAATGGGTCAATAAAGATAATGAAACTGGGTTACCCTATGATTTAGTGGTAGAAGAGGAAGGAGGTCATATAGAATACATTGAAGTTAAAGCAACCAAATCTGCAAGGAAAGACTGGTTCAATATATCAACGAGAGAGTGGCAATTTGCTGCTGAAAAAGGTGACTCTTTCAGCATTGCACATGTTCTTTTAAGTGATAATGAGGCTAAGCTTACAGTATATACAAATCCTATCAAACTTTGCCAGCATGGCAAGCTGCAATTGGTTGTTTTGATGCCAAGGCAGCGGAAGGATTTCGCAGTCATGTCCTAACTTGTGTTGTCTTGTTCTATATGTGATTTTGTGGAAATCAATGAACAAATTGATCTTTGAGATTACCTGAAATGCTGGAACGGCCCTTTGATTGCCTACTTTTGATTCCAAAGAATCTGGTCACCAAGGTTATGGCTCATATTCGGGTCGAGCAGACAGCAAATTGAAGGCCTCTGCTATGAAACAATCTCTGACAGTGCTGAGTTGTATGCTACTAATACATTTTAGTGAAGGATTTTTCCAAGAGAACATGGTATTCCCTGAGAGTGAAGTACAGGTTTTTGAGGAGCTCCTTAATGGGATTTAAGTAGACCATTACCAGAATCTTTAACATGAAGATATAAAGCGTTACTGATACATTAAAGGTTTTACCATGGAACATTGGTGTATGCATGGACAGCATTCAACAAGCTAATTCATTCATTGTAACGTATTCACATATAGTTTCCTATAAGATGTGTATAGTTTTTATACCTTGGTAGAGCGCATTGACGTATAGAAACATGATTAATTTTATCAAAAGAAGCTATCTACTGAGATTATAGATCATATTTTATGCTCGAGTTTGCTGTCTTCAAATGATTCAGAAGCCAACAAAGGCAAGAGATTTTTGGTGCATGTTTAGAGGTTCCATCGAAATTGGTTGGTCAGAAACTGTCTCCAAATCTCGTCAGCTGTCCGAAACTGTCCTAGTGTGTTCTGGTTTTGCGACCTCCTAAGTTCATTTTTTTGCAAAATTTAAGGGATTTTTGTTTTTGCAAAGTGGGGTGATGCTAATCTTATTGGCCTTAGGCTGTTAGATGCTTTAAAAATGCTTTGATTTGAACTCCATTTTGTGAAAAGAGAGTTTTCAAGTACTTCACTTTACACACAGATATTTAGACACTTTGATTTAAAATCTTGTTCCTTCTTAATAGGATTTTCCGGTTATTTTTCTTGTTTTGTTAATTAATACTATGGATAAAATATTATGAAAATTGAAAAAAAATTCTAAATCTATTGTTGTGAATCAAAATCTAGGCCCAGCCTTTTAATCCAACCCAAACAAAACCAGCTTTCCCCTTCACTGCTTCAGCAATCAGCACCACAGAGAGAAGCAATGGCAACCACGGGCTCTTCCTCTTTCAAAACCCTTTCGAAAACCCTACTCCGCTCCTTCTCCTCAAAATCGTCCCACCACAACAACCACCAACAGACCCACAAATTTTTAGAACCCAACTCCTTCTTGGGAAGCTGGAAGAGCCCCAACGGCCCCAAAGACGCCGAAAAGAAACTCGCCCAGTTGCGAAGAGACTATGCCAAGCAGGTCAAAGATGTCCGCAAGGAATACATCCACGAGATGGAGCTGTCGCGGCTGGAGAAGCTGAGGAAAGAAGAGGCCAGGAAAGAGGCTATTAGAGTTGCCAATGAGGAGCGGAAAAGACTTAAGGCTGAGGCTGCTAAGGTTAGAGCCCAAGAGCGTATGATTGCTGAAGAAGAGTTTCGACAAACCCTGGTATCTTTTACCACCCATTATATTTCCTTTGATTTTATTGTGAATTGCAATCGTAAAAAAGGATAAAAATCGAAATGTTTTCGGTTTAGTTGGATATTAATGCAGTTTGATTTTGGTGTTTGGAAATTGGGAGGTTTGTTTAAGTTGAGTAAGAGAATCTCCTTAGCGTATTTTTTCCCTTGTATAAAGAGAATCGAAGAACTAAAGTTATAGCTTTTACACTTTGTATATTGAGAAAAATGGAAAAAAAAAAGAATTGGAATTGGGTGTATGAATGTTGGATATTATAATACTTATTCCCTCGACTACCTTGGTAAATATGGTTGATTCTCAGTTTACTAAAGCTAAGTGAAAAAACTATGCCTGATAATTATGGCAACCAAAAGAGTTTTGAGGACAGTACCTTGCTTATTACCAAGTCAATTTTGTATTCAATGGAAGGGTGCTAACACAGATACAAAAGACTATGAGCTGTGTTGAGATTGGCCATCCATAGACCATACTAACCACTGGGGCATCAAAAATATGACTTCCAAAATCGAACCTTTCAAGTTATCATAGACTTGTTAAATCTGCACTTGTAGATATGAGCAAGGAATTGCTGGCGTTAAGGAGACATAGAGTAGAATTGTAAACATCTCGTATAACTGGCAATAATTGTTGTCAATAAGAAATCTTTGTTATTTAGGATATGGTTGATTGTGTGTGGAGCTGGATAGGAACTGGCCTTTTTGAGGCATTTCTTGTTCTCAAAGAGGAAGTTTTTTTCATGCTTTAACGTGATCATGTTGCTTATCGGCAGAACAGTCGTTAGGATTTTGTTGTTTTCCCATATACTGCTGGGTGCAAGCTCTCTTTTACTGCTGTTGCTGCCATTCTAGGGTCTTATGGATAATTTAAATGCACTGAAATCTTTTCATGTTAAGGACACACTGTCTGCTCTCTGTTCACTCTATATACATGTACATGAACTTGTTAGACCTCATGGTTGTGACCTTATTTCTAATTTTTAATTTGAAAATAAGTTACTTGATCCTGCATATATAAGCTCTCTATCTTATGCTCAAGATTTCGATTTGTATGAATGCAGTTGAAAGAAAGAGCAGAAAAGCTTGAATATTGGAGAACAACGCAAAAAATACATGAGGGTAAGAAGAAAGAGATGAATGAGCTACTGCACAGACAAAGTTCAATGTGGATTGATGAACGTGATTTGGAGAGGACGACACTGGCAGGCATAGTTGAAATCACACCCCTGTGACTTCCCTTCACTACCAAATTTGTAACTGATTTTGTCCATTATAGTCACAGAAGTATAAAATAAGCAGGGTTTTGTCCATCTTTCAAGAATTTAGTGAGTAATGGAAATGTTTGTGTACTGGGTCTGTCTTTGTTTGAACTTGCTTCCATTTTTCAAGCATTTAGTGACTAATGGAAATGTTTGTGTACTCGGTCTGTCTTTGTTTAAACTTGCTTGAATCCAGTTTGCTGGTAATTACATCACTGAAGAGTTACAGAAGGATACTGTTGGACTAGCATTCAAGCACATGTATTAGTGCTTTTTGGGCTGAATGCAGTTCAACAGTGAATCTGCTTATCGGTCCAACCCTCACCTTTATCCTCTCATACTCACATCCAATACCGTCTACTAAACAGATCAAATGTCGGCCTCAAGACCGACTGAGCTAACAACAGCGTCTGCTGGGTGCATTGTATCATGCTGATGAATTGAAGTTTTAATTCATGACATCCCATACTTCTTTTTGTTGCGATAGTTTGAGTTGCATGATTTGAAAACTCCTTCCAAATTGTTGTATGATACCTATTAAACAGACTATCTGAATAATTTATGCCATCACTATTCTTCTTTCAAATAGGAACATGAATGCTATGGTTTTCCTTTCCACATGATACGCCCCAAGAATGAACACTTAATATCTTGTAACTTGGGTTTCTTGCCCATGTGCTCATTTGTCATTTGGGTTTGAATTGAGAAAAACAAAATGCAGCTAAAGTTGAGCCCATTTAAGGTGGACAGTGGTCCTTAACCTGAGAATTAATGTCAATGTCCAAAGTTGTAGCATGCCCCCAATCCTTGTACTTCGTCGTTGAATTTAAGGGCAGCTCATATCTATATCGTAGGATCTTCATAGTCCTTGTGGTCCGCTTGTGGACCAGTCTCGAACCGACACGTGCTGCCTAACTATTGATTTATGTTTAATCATCATTGCTATAATGTGAAAGATCTGGGCCCTCCATCCACCAAAGGCAATTCCTGGACCGTCCTTTTTCCAATCTGAAGGTCACACCATTCATAAAGTTGTAGTCTGATTTTTCAAGGTGCAGTTTTACATGGCTAATCCTGATCTGATAGATAGCTTAACCTAAGGGTTTTCTTTATATATTTCTATTCTTCCAACAATGATTCGATAGGTGGAAATGTTTGCTTACTCCACAATCCCTTGGTTTAATATTTTTTGGGCTAAGCATATAGCCATCTTGTCTTATAAGGAGGATCAAGACATGTCACGAGCTCTCTTTCTTTTTCCTTCTCAATGATGTCATTTGACTCTTAGATAAAGCGTCTTTCAAAGTGCTTAACAAACATATTGTTATTTTTAAAATATATATATATATATATATTTATATACATTATCATCACAGATATTGAACCACTTCAAATTATTATTATAATATTTCTTAAAAAAATACATAATTTTAATTAAATTTCATCAGACTTTCCATAATTGAACAGGAAAAGTTAGCTTGTGCAATGGTAGCCCCCACCACATCAAGTTCCATATGATTTTACGTTTGATAATTTGAGATGCTGAAAGCAAAATATCATATGATATGAAAGAGGGGGAAAAAAATTATGGGCTTTTTAAATGTGGGCCGATTTTTGTCGATACTTAGGTGAAGGGGAAGCCAATTGTGTGGCATCATTCATACTTCAATGAGTCATGATTCCACTCTCTCTCTCTCTCGCATCCCATTTGGCCAACTCATAGTGATTCAGGCATCATAAAGTGGTAGTATATTTCGACCCCCATTAACTTTCATTACTTTCTCTTTTGTTGAGTGTAATGCAACTTATGGGGAGCTTTTGCTTTCTTTCTCTTATAGATTTGGGGTTCTGAGTTGGGAGTCCTTTCAAAGGGCTTTGGGTACTCGAAAGTGGGAGCATCCAATGCTTAAAAGAGAACGGGAATATCCAATATTCCAACCTTGACATTGCCAAAGGTTAAAAGAAGGGTGGGTTTTCTTTTTGCTTTTCTTTTTCTTCTTCTTACCTTATTTAATTGTATATTGTAATCAAGACTTGTATACTCTTTGTTATATATTAGAGCTTGGACCATCAAGTCAAACGGTTAGAAGGACAAATTATGCTTTCATTATCTTCTGGAATCTTAGATGGGCATTGCATAACCTCCTTATGCTAAAACCTAAAGCAAAACTGGATTAGCTATATATTGCTTCTACAATAAAAAAAATTAAAGAAATGAAAAAGGGGAGGTTGTTTAACCACTTCTTACATGACAACCACCAACCAATGAACTGTACTGACATCAAGCACAGATTCTAGATTGAATATTGTAATGTAATGACCTAATCTGATAATCAAACCTCAACCAACTCTATGCCGGATTATGGGTTACATCCCACTTTTTTTATAATAATATTAGCATCTAAAAAGGAAAGAATTATTTGGTGAGCTTAATTCCACCAAACTAATGCAAATTATGAAGTTTGGTAGATATCTAATGAATAAAATGTTGAATCAAACTTTGGGTATTTCCTAACCAAGTTTTAAATGATTTTTTCTTTGAAATTGGAACATAATATATATGTAGATGAAACTTTGTTGTAAAAAAAAAATGATTGAATTTGGAACATATCCTTCTTCTTCTTCTTTCCTTTTTTGTTGTGGTCCTCTATTTTATGTGAATCTTATTCCACCCAACGCCCTTCACTTTAATCATCTTGGATATCTTTGAAACAAAGCAAGAAAAAGGCTGCCTAGATGCTGGCATGCAAAAAAAGAAGAACAAGAAAATCTCTCCCCCCCCCCCCCCCTCCCATGTTTCCTTCTTAAATAAGAACCAATTTTGTATGGGGAGTGTTATTTTCATCAATCTTTTAAATGTGATAGGGAGAGAAAATAAGAACAAAAATGGGGTAACCAGTCATAATCTATCACTATCAATGTTAAAAGTTGCAGCCAATGTATGTGAATAACAAAGGTTTGGGTGTTTTAGATTTTGATAGTACAGTAATTAGTGGTCCCCAAAGAAGCATCGCCAATAAACCTTTTTTCGTCACTCGAATACAAAAAGTGAGCTTCAAAACAAATAGCAATTTTGATGACGACAATGCATGATTCCAAAGGCTTGGAATGGAGAGAAGTTCGTTTGGCCACCTTACCCCCTATTATTGAACGGACCACACTTGTGATTAGCTATTATTATTATTATTATTATTATTATTGCTATAATCATAAATTTTAGCAAATACCCTTCCTTCATTTTTTTTTCTCCTTTAAAAAGGGTATCCAACTACTATAATATTTGTTAAATTAGGTGACCACACATCCACTCCCCTACATATGGAATTTATGACTTAATTGACTTTGCACATCACATTAATAGGATTGAGAAAAAGGATACAAATTGAAGAGATGGATTGCAAAATGGTCCAAACAAGAATATTGCACACAAATTCTAATTCAAAGGCTTTTAGCCTCACCGACAACGGGGTATATATTTACAGAGGATGTAGCGTGGTATAAAACAAGAAAGGGGATTGAGAAATTGAGTGGTCAGCTTGTTGTCTCCTATGGGCCGTGTGATACGAGAAAGAGTGGAGTCACCGTTGGAGTTGGTATGTGAGAGTGGACCCATCAGCCTTTTGGTATTTCAGAGAGTGTGGGGGCGCCTCGGCCCAACTGCTCCTCCCTCACCTGCGCCCTGGACAACCATAAAAAAGGGTATTGGTTTCGTGAACTTCTGCATGCCCTTGTTTCCCCCACAAGCAGGTCCAGTCCCCTTGCCTTTGCTTGTGCTTCGTTTTGGTTTTTTTCAGGTGCTTTGCCACGACTATGACAGCTGAAATTCAGCTCCTTTACCTGCACCAAAAGCTAGAATTTCTATACTGAATGAACCAAAAAAAAAAAAAAAGAAAGGAAATCAGTTTCTTTGTTTTTTTCCCATTTTTTCATGAGCAGCTGTCTCTAACTTTGGACAATAAAATCAGAGCAATGTTTCCTCAATGATTTTTCCAAACTAAACAAAATGTCACGGGCTCATGTAATTTAGTCCCATTTATTTATTTATTCTAAATATAGTTACATCCTTCTAAAATTAGTTTCCACACATAAGTCAGAATAAACATGTACCAGAAGTTATCCTAGTCTCAGGTAAAATCTAATCAATGATTGGAAAAACAAACGGCTGTTAACCTAGCTACTGGTTAACTATGTCTCATTGTAATCACATAACTAGATGGTGTGACCACATTTGCCATTTGTCTTCAACACTAATCTCAAGTCACAAATTGAAGATTATTTTCCATCTAACAACAGTATGAATATTTGAGCCTCAACAAGCCGAATATAACATTATAGGTTATTCTTTTAGTCAAAACAAAAAAAAAAAAAGAAAGGTTAAAAGTGTTCCAACTTTTACCGGTTCCAACAGAGTTTTAAAAAGAAACCAAAGTATAATTCCTTTTAAAGTTGAAACTTTTTTGAATCAACTGTTGGTTTATGTATGTGGAACAGCTTTTGAAAGACTAAATCCGGACCAAATTGGCATTAACCCTTTCTATTCATGGCAACCAACATGGCATGCAGCCAACCTCTCCCATATATGTAAGTCGGCAGTGATGCCATTAAACATTATGGAGATATAACTTCAAGTTTTAACACACTTTTTTTTTTCATTTTTTTATTAATAAATCCCAAGAAAAACAACCAAGCATCTGCCATGGTACCCTTTGCATTAATTGTTCTTCCCATTTGCCTCCATCAAAACCCATTTTGGTGCTATCTTTTTCCTTACTAAATTTTGTATGCAAACCGCGGCAAGAGGAAGGGGTTTTTAAGATTTCCAACAGAGCCTATTCCCTCATAATAATTACATTAAAAAGAAAAAAAAAGCTGGCAGATTTGAATTCAAAAACCAAGTATCATTACCATCATAATGGTTATTACTTATGGAGTCAAAAACAAGAAACAAAAAAAAGGCAATGGTGGCTTCCACCACCACCACAACCTCCATCATTTATTTTTGCACTAATATTAATTGTACCTTATATTTTATAGTAGCATGCAGCTCGACAAAATTTGGGACTTCAGTATTGTTGTACTTTTTGAAAAAAGAAAAAAGAAAAACAAAGCACCAAGTATAATCTTTAGTTTAGCAAATTGAACCAAGTAAACATACTCTATAATGTAGAAATCACTCAAACGTGTGATCCCCCATTGCCACTTTGTTGGGTTTCTTTTATTATTTGTATTTTAATTGTAGTCCTACGCGTTATTGTGTATATTTATTTTGTTTTAAAAGAAGGCATGATCCATGTGTAGCAAATTCCTAACTTTTATTCTAAAATTCTTCATATTTTCTTTTAAATTCTTTGGGTTCATCTAAAGGTTAATTGCTGAATACCCAATCTTAGTATCTACCTTAAATTTCTTTCTCAAAAAGGAACAAAAACAAAACAAACAAGTGAATTGTATTTGCTACATAAGGTTGTAATGTCTATAAGGCCACATCCATTTTAGTTAACCTTTTTCTTTTCTTTCTTCCATTTCTCTATCAAAGTTTTGGACAATCCGTATGCATTTCTTGTTTCTCAACGACACCCTTTGCTTTTAACCTTTTTTTTTCCTTCTCTAGAGACCAAGAAAAAGTAGACACCAACCCACCCATGAGAGTGTAGACAATTTCTGGGATGGCGGCCAAGTTGCCAGGAGATATAAGAGACAGAATACGCAAAAACTAACAAGTTGGAGACAGAGGTTTCCCACTTTTTGCCCGAAAGAGAAAGGTACAGGAGAGATGAGAGGGAAGAGAACTGGTGCCTGGTGGTGAGTTGCGTCATGTTTCAGTGTGGTAGAAAGAAACCCAACAAGAAAAATGGTAATAAAAAAGAAAAGATATAAATAAAACAGCAGAGAGGGGAGAGCAGACTTTTCTTCAACATAAAGGCTGAAGCTCTCTCTCTCTCTCTCTCTCTCTCTCTTTCTCTTTTTCTTTTGGCTTTGGAAGTGGGGTCCATTGCAATCGAATCAAAACCCCAACTGTCACGTATTCTCTTCCAACTGGAGACTACTTCTTCTACTATCTTTCTCTTCCCTTGTTTTTGGCCAACAACATTGTAATCTTAAGCATTTTTTCTCCTGTCACTTTCTTTCCCATTCTCTCTCTCTCTCTCTCTCTACTCTTCTTTACTCCACTTTTCTTTTCCACAGTCTATAATGCCTGCCCATTTCAGTTTTTCTTCATAAAAAATCAAGGGTCGGTGCCAGATAAAGCATTTTCTGCTCTGCTTCTTTACTTTTTCGTTGTCAAAACGATGCCACCACCTAGATAAAGTCCTTGTTTCCTCTCTTATTATCACTATTTCTTATATCCCAGATTTTGCTGAGTTTTTATTCTGTTTTCTTTTTTTATTTCTTTAAGCTTTTTCCATTTGTTTATCTATTGGTTGGAGCTTGGAACTAGCTTCTGAGATTGCAGTAGGATTTCCGAAGAAAGAAAAAGAAAAATCTGTCTTCACTGTTTTCCATCAGAATTTGACAGAGAACTCATATGGGTGTTTATACGAAGCTTGGATTGGTTGTTATCAGTGGAAGAAGTATAAAATTTGGTTGTTTCAACTAGTTGGAGATATGGCATTCAAGGAGAGAAAATGGGCAAAAGCAAGTATTCAGTTTTCTCAGGGCTTCAATTCTGTTAATCAGGAATAGTATAATTCTGGTTTTCTTTTTCCTGTCTTTGGGTGACTCTGAGAATCCAGTTCAGGCCATGCAAAGGCACAGCTTCGAGGAGTGTCAAGGCTTTGATCGCTTCCCAAGTTGATTACTTTGCATGCTCTTTGTTGATTGAAGGGTTGGGAAAAAGGAATTCTTTGAGGTGTCATCAATCTGTAATCTTCAAATGCAATTGATCGTTTCGTTGAGGTGAAGATCCAAGAAAAAAAAGAGCAAAAAAAAAAAGCTCTGAGTCCTTTAGCGAGGAATTTGAGGCGCGGGTTAAGGCTTGAGGAGGCAAAAAGACAGCTTTGATACCTTGCCATCCAAAGAAAGCTTTGGCTATTGACCTTGTGGTTTACGCTACTTGGGAAACTTGAGTTGTTGAAACTGGAATGTTGTTATTCTACTTTTTTATGCTAACATGTCCAGTTACATTTGACTGCAGCTCTCTCCTAGTTCTTGGTGGTATCGAATTTTAAGAACCCTGTTTTTCAGGTACACATTTTATGCATTTCTTCCTCATCTCTCATCAAATCAATCACCTTTATAGCTTTGCTCTTTCATTATTTTTATTTTTATTATTGTTTTAGGATAAAGGGGATGAGGTATTTGACAGTTCACGTAAAGCAAATCAAATTAGGAAAAAAAAAAAAAGGAAGAAGATAAGAGGTTATGTGACAATTTAGGTGCTGCATGAGAGAGACAGAAGCCATATCTGTATCTCAAAGGCTTAAGGAAAGGGTTTAACAGTATTTTAGGAATGTTAAGAACTGATGAATTTAGAAGCTGATCTGTTAAAGGGAATTTCTTGTTTTGCATAATCATCAGTGTCAAGTGTCTCCTCAGAATTCTCATGACCATGTGAAATTTGGGCTGATCTGATTGTGGGGTGTCTGTTTCCAGTTCCTTGCACAATGAGACAGTCATGATTCTTTTACCACTTAGCTTGTATTCTTGTCTGAAAGATTCAGTTAAAAGAGATTGTCATTGGAAGTTTTTTGAAGAGCTGAGGCTAACAATTCAAGAGTGACTTTTTGTTTATTATGAGTGTCTACCTGTTTTGCCTTTGGTTCATCTGTTTGAATGATAAGTTTTCTGCAACACCATGGACTCCTACATAGCCTATTTGCATTTCTGGCATCCACATATCAATGTCTGTTCTTTTTCTTCACATCAGCTCTTAGCAACTCTATGATGAAGGTGCCTTTGTCTCCCCTATTCTTATATTTTATAAAATCGGTAAACATTTGAGACCTTACATTTCATTTTTATATCCTTCTAATTCCTGATTTTTTCTGTTTATCAGATTTCCAAGTCACCTTTCAACAAACAACTTTCAATTGTCAAAGCATTATAATCCCAAATAAAACCACATTTATCATGGCCAAAACATCAAATAGGCGCCCTGTGCGATATGAAAAGGAACAGTTGGGCTGTATGTGGGGCTTGATTAGTATGTTTGACTTCCGCCATGGTCGATCAACTCAGAGATTGCTTTCTGATAGAAGGCGCAGTTACAGAAATGCGGTTGGTAAGTTCTCTAAGAAATTTTGAAGCATCCGCATGCATGTGGATAGAACTCTGTTTAAAGTTGCAAATTGATTACAAAAAGTCTTTTGCATTGTCCTTTTAGCATTAAGAGATTATTTGGTTTGTTGGTATGATTAAATCTAAAACCTATTTTTTCTTTAAAGTTAGAAATATTGGTTTGTTTGTGTTTGATCCATGTTGTTTTAAGTTTTCCTTTAATGCTGTGTTTTCTCTTTATTCTTGCAGGTGTGGGAAACTCAGTAAAAAAACTTGACATGTTGACTAGTTCTGGAGACAATTGTCCAGAAACTCTTGTAAGCTTTAAAAACCTTAACCCACTAATTTTGAAAATTGCCATATATTCATTAGAAGGGCAGAGATATTTTGAGCGGAAGATATTCATCAATGGAGTAAGCTTTTCATTTATTATTGATATTACTATTGCTTTATCCAGGATGCTGAAGAGAAAACAACAGTATCTGATGCATGTAAGCCAAGTGTGAAGAAACTCCTAGAAGAAGAAATGTCCGGAGAGCAGGTTGCAAAGAAAGATGTAAATAATACTGAAATTGAAGCAAAACGGTGTGATTCAGGGCAAGAAGACAACAGAAGGAAGAACCGGAAAAGAAAAAACAAAACTCGTAAGAAAAGTCGTGATAGCAGTCTTGATTTTGATGCTGCTGAGAACTTGGTATCAGAAGGTTCTTGTCAGCATAAATCAGAGCAACAAACTACAAGCAATCTCAATATGGACAACCTAATGGAAGAGTTTTGTCAGAAAATCCATCAGAAAACAATAAATTGTGTGCATCATGGCCAGCCTGCTGAAGGTCATATGCAGCCAAACCTGAAGAGTTCTGGTTTTGAAGAAAGATTGACTGAGGCAATCAAGTTCTTAGTGAGTCAGAAGCTGATTAACGGGAATCAACTTACAGAAGATGGGGAACTCCAAGCCTCAAAAGAAGTCATGGATGCACTTCAAATTTTGAGTTTAGATGAGGAATTGTTTTTGAAACTTCTACGGGATCCAAACTCATTGTTGGTGAAATATGTGCACGACTTGCCAGATGCTCAATTAAAGGAGGAGGAAGAGTCTACACCTCTTGCTGGATCCAACTTTTCAGAGCAGGAGCTTGTTGATTTAAGACAATCCAGTGAGCCTGTTAATAGAAAACAGCATAACTTCTTTAGAAGAAAGCTCAAGTCTTGCGGAAGGGACCTATCAGATGGAAATAAGGTTTCTCAAGCTTCAAATAAAATTGTAATTTTGAAGCCTGGGCCAACATGCTTGCAAACTCCTGAAACTGGAAGCAGCCTTGGCTTATCACCAGAACCTCAGTACATCATCAGACATAGGGAGCCTAATGAGAAAGTTGGTTCCCACTTTTTTCTTGCTGAAATAAAAAGAAAGTTGAAACATGCTATGGGAAGGGAACAACATAGAATCCCCACTGATGGTATTTCTAAAAGATTTCCTGGTGAGCGACAAAATTCAGGGGATAGTGGAGGAGTTAAGGAATATATTGGGATGAATTCTCCAACTAAAGACCACTTCTTTATTGAAAGAATGGCCAGACCTTCCATTGGTGTCAAAAAAGGAGAAAAAACAAGCAAGCTAAAAGGTTCTGAACAAGGTACAGATTATGAGACTACTGATTTTTCCAAGCAAAAGGTTTCGAACATCTATCTTGAGGCAAAGAAACATCTCTCTGAGATGCTAAGAAATGGGGATGAGAATGTGGATCTTTCAAGCAGACAGGTTCCAAAAACTTTAGGCAGGCTTCTTTCTCTTCCTGAGTATAACTCATCACCTGTTGGCAGCCCTGGGAGGAACTTGGAGCCTAATTTCATTACTGCACAGATGAGATTTGCTGGCTCTGAAAATTTTGGGGAGGTGAATGTAAACAATCAACAGAACCATGTCAGCCATCTAAGTCAAGTAGCAGAGAGCCAGCTTTGCATTTCAGATAACAAGACCATTAATGAAGTCCATGGTGATAATGCCATTTTAAACAACCTTGACACTTGTGTGAATGATGACAAAGAGGACCAAACATTTTGTGCTGCTAAAGATGAAATGAGTTCTGAAGGTATTGTTTTGCATTTGTTTAATTTATGGTGACAATCATGAGTATCTGGGTTTATTAAATTGAACCTTCATAAAATTTATGCAGGTTCTGTGAGTAATGTTAAAGCACCTGAACTGATGGTTCAGGAAGAAAGCAAGGTCTTGGACACTTTTTCTGAGACAAGTGACTCTTCAATTACTAGAGATGACAAAAATGTAGATGTATGTGAAGTTTGTGATGAAAAACAACATCATCAATGCTTGAAACAGGTATACTGATGCCACTTGCTGGAATATATTTGAGATGTGATTACAAAGAATCTTAAAGCAATGAATACAAGCTGCTTATGCCCTTCCATTAATCTCCCATCTCCCACAAAGAGGATGGAAAAAGATACATCACGTTTGATATTGTCTTGATTCTATTGTTATGTTAAAGGCAGAGCTAAAATCCCCATAATCAAAATAGAGGCTCTTCTATATATCATGTCATTATTCCATTTTGTTGTTCTGCACCCTGTATATGTTATGTCATCCAACTAATTATTTTTGTTCTTTCTCCAGGATTCATCTGAAGAGGACCAACAGCCATTTTCTCCACTAGCATCTCCATCAAACTCTTTAGTTACCAATAAGGTTGAGTGTCCAGAGAGTGTTACTGATATACAGGAGCGGCCAAGTCCTGTATCTGTTCTTGAGCCACTATTTGCAGAGGATGTTATCAGCCCTGCAAGCATCAGATCTCATACTGGTAGGCATATGAGAGAATTATTTTGTTTGTTACACACCCTACTTTTGTATTTAACTTTGTTCTATCACATTTTGTCTAATGCCAATTTGTTCACCGATCTTCAGCTGAAACATCCATGCAACCACTAAGAATTCGATTCGAAGAACATGGCTCTTTAGCCACAAATCACAGCAATCATATTAAAACTTGCATGGATGATAAAGAATCAATATTTGAGCACGTAAAGGCAGTGCTGCAAGCCTCTAGTTTCAACTGGGATGAACTCTACATCAGGTCACTTTCTTCAGACCAGCTTCTTGACCCATTATTGCTTGATGAGGTAGAGTACTCGCCCAACCAGCTCTGTCATGACCAAAAACTGCTCTTTGATTGCATTAATGAAGTTATCATGGAGGTTTGTGGGTACTACTTTGGTTCCCCGGGTGTGTCATTTATCAAACCCAACATCCGTCCTATCCCAAACATGAAACATACTATTCTAGAGGTCTGGCAAGGAGTTTATTGGCATTTGCTTCCAATGCCACTGCCTCGTACTTTGGACCAGATAGTCAGAAAAGACATGTCTAAGACAGGGACATGGATGGATCTTCGACTTGACACTGATTGTATTGGTGTTGAGATGGGTGAAGCCATTCTTGAAGATTTAGTGGAAGACACCGTAACCAGCTACATAAATGAAAGTCTGGAATGTGAATATCATGTGCTTCCAGCTTAGCTGAAGGACCACGAGAGTGACATCAACTTGTAAAAGGCAACTGACTCTGTTTTGTTCATACTTCATACCAATAATGTACCTCACGTTGGGTCAAGGTGGGAGAAAAACAAGCTAATTAAGTCTTCTAAATCAGAAGGATAGGCAGTGACATCCCACCGAGCAAGGGGGGCATCATTTAACTCTCCTTAAAGGTGTTTTTTGCATGATGCAATGGCTTTTTCTAACCTTGCCATTGAAATCATGTAGATACATAAAAAATCTTCCCATATCTATTAACCATTAACCAGGAGACCTTACAAGCAGCAACCATGAATTGATTCCTATTTCATGTGCAGAGATCCTTTGCAAATGCTCCTCACAAGAATTAACAACAAACACCTGATTTCAGACGCCTTTCTTGGTTCATTTTAATCAATGACTATACTGCTACATCTGGATCAGTGCATTTCTCCTGGTGACAAGTTGATAAAAATGTTCTTTCTCATTGTAGAACTTATAGGGTTTGGCATGTATTGGTCGTGTGTGGATGGTGTGCTTTTCATTTTGATTGATTTCATTCATTCTTGAGTTTCGTACTTGAGTGGTTTTCTTCATTGTTGTATCTGTGCATTTCTGTATTTAGAGTTGAGAGTGCTTATGAGTGGAGTTATGACTACTTTGATAATGGAGGTCGGATTTCATACGTCTGATGTATGCGCCTATACAAGTTATGCTCGTTGAAAATAATAAATAACACTGAACATCTTGTAAGAATGCAATTATGGGATGGAAATGAAGTAGACATGAGCTTTTATTTCTCTTGCTTTTAACGCAAACTGTGGCCCATTTCTCTGTACTTGGTTTCCAGTTTTTTGCTCTGACCGTAGGGTGGAGAAGAGTGGGAGCTTAACCAACTAACAGTCGTATCGAGGACCACGGCATCATCATCATGCCATCATGCCCACGTTCACAACTAATAAGCTCTCAGCCACTAAACTCTTCAGTGGGAAACTAGGGCCCTGTATGAAAGCAGTGCAAACCAATCATTTATTGAAACCACCACAGGCTGTTCTGGTCTCATCTACCCATTGTCAATATCTTGCAAGTATATCCATGAACTTCAAGCCATTGAAGGAAGAAAGTGGCATCCAAAACGTTTTCTAACAATATGATTTATTGGGAACCACCAACGACAGTAAACCCCATTGAATTACCTAAGAGGACCAACCCACATTTCATCAAATGTCCTGCTCATGGTCCATGATAATTTAACTTCTCAACATACAAGAATGATATATCTTTGCTAACAAAATTATTTCAAGAACAAAAGCTTTGATTTCTCATAGATATTTCCATTGGCGAAAATGTTTACAAGTCATTATGTTAACCAGAAAGTATATTACACTTTGTTACATTCAGCCTTTTCAAGGCCGCAAGTCACTTTCGTTTTCTCTTTGCCTGTAATTGTGAAGTCAGAGGAACTGCTTTCTTCCTAACAAATGCACTGCTTCTGCTTTCTGGGTCCTCATCATCACCATCTTCATCAACTACATCTACGCCAGAATGGGTGGTGGACTCTTGATTTCTTGATGCTTTCCTTTTTCCAGCATCCAACTTGGCATATATTTTTCTTTCGACAGGGTCGTTTGAGGGTCCAACTTTTGATTGACGCAGAACTTTTGCCCCTAGTCCGAGCCTGTTAAAAACAGATCAGAAATAAAACTAAGAAAAGATGGTGCATGAATACATGATACAGCTATGATAGAAGGATCCACACTGACCCACTAGGCCGGCCTTCTGGTTCTACTTCCACAGCTTCATCTTCAGTAGATCCACTCATTTTACAAACCCATTGTTCTGCCTGCATATCACTGATGTCAACAACAAATGGGACGAGGATTGCAAAACAAAAGAACAAACAATCACTCTCAGATTAGAAGCTCATTCCATCATGACACAAGAGTTACCAAGGCTCTTTATTTTTTGATAACTCTACACATACAAGCAGAAATTACAATCATATAATCACAGAATCCTCAATATTTATGACATAGTTATTACATCCAGAAACCAATGGAATAACCCAACAAACCAGTATATAGATCGGACTAAACCTACCCATGGTGAGACTTAAACCTGAAACCTAAAGCCTCCAAGACCTTCTCCTCAATGCATGTTACTAGGATTAAGCAAAAGACAGTCAAATGTATAAAAGGCCAAGCACAGTTATAGATTTATATGAAACATCAATAATTCTGAAAGTCGCTACATCTTCATATTATAAATTAGTAACAAAGTAGTACATCTTCTTGCCAAGCATAATTCAATTACCATAGTTCAGACCCAAATACATAAAATATTGTCTACTACCAAGCCAATCACCAAAGGTAATGTACTGAATCATGAATAAGACAAAACAGAGCTAAAACAAGAAACCCAAATCACCAAGACCAGTGCCTCCAAAACCATGAAAGACTCGCCAATATCAGTACAATTAAAAGCAAAAGCGAAAGAGATTATTACCAGTTTCGCTGCGTTATTCAGCTTTACAATTTTAGGAGGCCCAGTTTTTCTTGGCGTTTCCGTGGTCATTGGCCTCTGTTACATGGACTCTGCGGCACTTTAAAAATCGCAACGGCGAAGTTCAGTCGCAATGGCAAATTTGATTTGGTGCCTCTGGCGGCCGGCGGCGAGATGGAAGGAGAAGAAGAGGTAGGTTGAGTAGATTAGGACATTCGTTTTATCATTCCAATTGGGCTTAGGAGTCACTAGGCCTGCAGTCAATATATTACTATACTTCTGGCCCAAGAGAACAAGGGCATGACGCCTCCGGCTCTTGACTGATTCTATGTAGCCCAACTTCAGTTGTGGTTTCGAGCTTTGAAAAACTTATTGAGAGGGTGGAGTTTCTCATTTTGTAATAAGGAAAAAATAGGAAAGAAAAATGTATAGACGTGTATAAAAATTAAGTTTTTAATTCTTCTGTGTTGATATCAATATCCTGTTGAATATATCTAATAAGCCAATCTCTTGGGACAAACAACTATCTATTCTCTTTTACTGGGCAAAAACACTAGTGTTACAGTCAAAAATAACCGATGTCCCTCCAATAATATCAACATTAAATTATCATTTACATCCTCTCTTTTAAGACAGAAGGTAAAAAGAATTGTGATTCCTATGCCTGTGACCTGACAAAAACAAACACCTAGTGCCAAAATCAGACTTGAGGGAGTAAAAAGGTTGAAGAGACGATTAACTCAAGTGCAGCAAAGCTTTTTTTCACTGGCTCTTTGGTTTTTGAACCTTGACATAGGGGAAAAAACCCATGAAGTGGACAACTTTGGGATCCCACCCTCGCTGCTGAGCACGACAAAACATCAAGAATGTGTTGGCAAAATATGAATTGAAGCCCATCAAGACATGCCATAGAGCATGACCCTGGGGGTTAAAGTACCATTGAGAAATCTCCTTGCAGAACACCCGGTCAGAAAGCCAACACATACTCCCTAGGAACAAAGTTACTACATATAGCTTTGCAAGCCGCTTTGCAGAGACGTCATTAGTGTAGATGTAGTATTTGTACATGCGAGGGATGCAGAGAAGGCAGAGAACAACATAATGCACCTTGAAGCCAATTCCAAAGCGGAACAGAGCATGGACTACTGCAAATCCAGCTCCATAAATGAACAGGAAGGTGGGCATTGTACTTCGATAGTGCCAATCTGGTGAGTAGAGGATGTAAAAGTATAGAAGCATTTCCCACACCATTGGTGTTTCATCACCTTGCTGTTGCCTGAAAAGAAATTTATAATTTTCACACTTTAAATCAACTTGGCAAATTAACAACTGATTAAAATTTTTCAAGTTCTTGATTCTTAAAACTACATAACATGAGCAATGTTTTTCCAAGTTCTTTTCCCACTGGTGCCCATTTTTCCTCCAGCATAAAAGGTTTTTCAACAAAAAGAGAAAATAGGCAGTAAAAGAACTATCATATAAACCTTCACTTTAGTCATTGGTTCTGCTTAGCCAAAAGGAAAAAAAATCACTGAGGAAAAGAAAAGAAACTATTCATTTGTTGACGGAGTTTCATGCCACAAAAATATTTTATAGCCTAGCAGCCTAAACAATCCTCAACCACCCGCAGCAAACTTTAACCGACAACAATACAATGTGTCGACAGGATCTCCCTATTCAATGCCTCTATAAAAGAGACCCTCCATTCTGCAGCGAAATATATGATGCCTAGCAAAGGAAAAAACTTAGCATCATAAATGAAGACCTCCGGTTTGATTGTATATTATTATCTACATTTTACAAACCCATTCAAGTTATCAAGACCTTCACACCTTTAGCTACACATCAAACTAATAGAAGTACTGCAGCATTTTTTCTTTCTGTTTTTGTTTTAATGTTTCCTTGTTTTTAGTATGGAGGACAGACACAGACATCTGGACATTTCCAAAAGAAGCTATAGTGTGAACTGCAAAGGTAGAACAAAAGCACAGTAAAAATGGAAAAATCAAGCAGTTCTTTTACTTTTTTCAATGATTATCTAGAGAGTGAACTGTGAGTAAAGTAACACCTTTTATTTATCTTTTTTCGATGTTTCCTTATTGTTATTCTGGAGGGAAACACAAGTACATGCACGCATTGAGGGCAGTTGGTATATTTGAATTACATCGGCATCACAAAGCAAAGCACCCAAAACAATACAAATGTCAAAAACTGAGATCTAGTACACCAAATCAAATAATCCCAATACCAGAAAGACTTATACAAAACAAAGAGTCTAAGTTCCTACAACTCCAAATCAGCATCATACACCAAAGCATAGGCAAAGCAGTTTCAATTTTCAAAGATGGAAATAAATGTGAACTAAGCCAGTCGTAAGTCTTTAAGGCAAAAAAACCCAAAATAAAAGACATATAACCTCTTTTTCACGTAAATAATGCATTTAAAACATCACAAAGAAGGGTACAAGTCCATAAGAAGTATTCAAAGAGAACTGATGAAATATAACAGACTTAAGGCCAAAATATCCAATACACAGGTGAAGCTTAAGAAAGGACGTAAAAGGCAGAAGAAATAGAGCAGAATTCTAAGAGAAAAGGCTCCATGAAATTATTGCCTCTGGAAACTTTAAAATTTCATGTCACCTTGAGCAGGAAAGAAATGAGGAAAAGGTCAAAATCTAGGCATTAGTCTACATCTCCTAGAAAAGATGTGCTAAATGGACCATGGGACAAAGGGAGCCATACACTGAGGAGCAAGCAGATGAAAAACAAAATAAAAAAAGGCTTTAGACATAACTTATTTTACTTATTCCTCCAACGAAGCTTTTGAACCTAAGACAGGAATGGAACATTCCTTCTGCCCAATTCCAGAAGTATCTATTTAAGCATGATACAGAAGGAATGTTCATTTAAGAAAGTCGAAAACCAAAATAAAAACCTTCAGTTAATTGTACTCTTTGCTAGTAATCCTGTCAGTCTGCCATTCAAGAAAAGTAGCGAACTCCTTCAATCAATCAAACAAGGAAAACATGCAAAAACAATATTTTCTAACATTAGATCTCTGTTGGTAAGACATTCATCTATATATCTGAAGCATTTGAGGGAAGGGCATTGCATGAGTAAGAAGTGAAAAGAATACTTACACGCGCTGCAGTGTGGCGTGGTATAGCATGCTCCCAATGGCGAGTATCATGTTAGATATATGAAGGACACTAAACCTCTTCTCAAATCGTTGTCTTAAGGCATTTATAAGGCCAATGAGTGCCAATAGAATGCCTGGGACATTGGATATCGTGTTGAAAAACTCTGCAATGTAAGATGAGTGAACATAGTTTTTCTCACACCACTCAGCGGATGTAACAGGACCCCAGAAGCTTGACAATCCACCTTCCATTCTATATTGAATATACCAAAAATGTATTATTCTTTAACTGAGATACCTTCAGTTATAATGTTGTAAATGTCATAAAACCTGCAATTATTGTCAATAAAGAATTGAGATACAAAACCACATAAAGAATTGCAACCAATTAGACAACCAATACCACGTTTTGCAAACTAAAATACTCTTTTATCAGAAAGAGATGATAAACAAGCTAACTAAAAAGAAAAAGACACAATATGCTAAACTACAATGTATGTGCACCAATTCAGACATGCACATAAAGCAACCCTTACTACTTGGACAAATGACCAAGAGCCATTATTGTACAAAATGGCATTGAATAAAGGAAAAACAGAAATATTAAAGGCTCAAAGCAATTAATATTTGAGCATTTAGTTTCATAGAGCAAAGTGTTCTCACACAACTCTAAATATAAGGTAAAAAGGCTGTTTTTAACATCAGCTTCTACAGAACTCCACATCAAGTAACTTGTAAAATCTTTTATACCTGCTGTATTCAGGATTCCCAACTTATTCAACAGCAATCTCTTTTGCTTTAAGGAAATCACCAACACAGAGAGGGGACAGGTCCAGATCTAGTGAATAAGTCCAAAAAGCAATCTAAGAATTACGAATTACAATACATGTAACACCCGATTGACACGTTGCAAATTTCAATAAGAAAACTTTTAGAACTTAGTTTCTTCCTGTTCCATCCATATTTAGATCCACTCATCTCTGTGCAGGAAAATACAACTTTCTACCCCAGAACAGTTCTCTAGATAAAAAAATGAACTAAAAGTAGAACTGCTTTAAGAACTTCTTTTCCTAAGATGGAATAAACTGCAAATCATTCTACTTCTAATCTGGTCTGCCATTGTCATCTAATAATGAAACAGTAATGTCATGCAGCAATAAGCTACATAGCACATCCCATATGATCTGGTCAAATTCATCCCATAAATCAGACTCCTATAAGCCAGCAATGGCCACACTGTTATTAGATTCCAAGAAACTTTGATACTATAGTAGCAATTGCAACTGCCATTTTACTTCATCTCTAGGGTTCAATGTGAATTCTATGATAGAGGTCGAAGCTAGTATTGCGGCCTATTTGACTCCGTCTATTCAAAGAATTTAACTCACAGGAGGAATTTAAACTCTACTAAATAACCAAAACACTTCACTGCTCTTCCATTAACCAGCTCATCTATCAAACCACCGAAATACCATTTTGATAACCTTAAAACCTCCCCTAAACCCATTAACCCAAAAGAATCAGACAGAAACTATGTTCTTTAAATCCAGCTAGATTTAACCACTTTAAACCGCCATCAATGTTTAACCAAAGGCTTGAGTTCTAAGTTCCTACCTTAAAAAAATAGCCTCAGCCCGATGAGTATCTCATAAGAAGGTCCTCAAATCTAAACTAATCTCTAGGATAGATAACTACAACTATGGCACTTAAATCCCTGCTTCAAACTCCATAGCATTGCAATCGATCAGATTTTCTTCTTTAGAAAAATCAAAACTTGGGCAGCAAATTCATACTGAAATTTAGAAACCGGAGGAAAGAAAATATCTTTCAACTAAACATAAATGATAATGTACTACCCCTCAAAACCATCAACCAAAAGAAACATTCCCTTGAAATTTGGCCATACCCATTAAGACCCAATCCTCGAAAAGCAAAATAAAGGTCATACCAATAGCAAAGTTGCCCGCGTATTTTACCAAACAAGGAAGCAAAAAATAAAAACCTTGTAAACAAAAGAAAAGAGAAAATGACAGGAAAGTGAGAGGGAAACTAACCGTTTAACGAATCAGATCTGGTGTTGCAAAAAAATAAAAGCAGCTCGAAACTTCTTTCTTTCACAGTTTTTTTTCTTTTGAGGGAGTACTCTTGGGTTGGGGTTTTTTGTGTTGTTTCTGTTTTTTTATTAATGTGAAAAGAAAAATTATATGAAGAGAGGCAAAACAGAGAAAGAAAGATTCGGGAAGGAAGCTGAGGCCAAGAGTAGGGAGAGGGTGGGGTGGAAGGAAGCAGGGGGCACGTGAGGGGGAATATTTATGGGGGCGGTGCTGTGGACGTTGGATTGAGGAGGTGGGACGGTTGAGATTTTATTTTGAGAGAGAAATTGTACGGCCACTGAATTTGATAGATTCATTATAATCGATTTTCTTCTACCTCTGCTCTCCCCGTCTTAGGCTTCATAAATCATAAATGCTAAGGTTTGGATTATAAAATCTACTTTTTACTTTTAATTTTCCAAAACCCAAACTCAGAATATTTTGTTTTACATTCAATAATTAAATCTAAAAGTTCAAACAACAAACAGTTTGGACAAAATCCTTTTGTCAACTTTATATTTGCGTTCATAGCTTTATATTCCAAAAAAAACACGAAAGAAGAAAACATAAGGTTACCTACAATAAATTTTGTATAAATCATCGACTATTTATTGAAAGTAGGTTGAGCGCTTGCCCAATTAATAATTGTCGATTAAGTTTTAAATTTACCAATCAATATAGCACTTGTTAGATGGTGTTGATAATATGAGTAAATGTGAAATATCTCTAAATGTGATCTCCATCATATTCGCTGAAATATTAAAAGTTGAAAGCATAAAAAGGAAATAAAAATCCCATTGAATTTAAGCCTACATTTCGAATCTCTTACATAAAAATTTGTCTTTCTGTTAAGAGTATTAATTCCTGTTTTAGTATTAACGACTTGTATACGATTTTCCCCTCTCTTTGGCTAATAATAGCAAGCTTAAAAAGTTAGGGTTTTAACATGGAAAAGTGGTACTATCTTGACAAGACGGACTAGCTTTCGTCCTACAGTTTTGCGGCTGGTTAAACAAGAGCCAACACCACCGGTCCTACCGTTGTAATGTTCTATTTATAAATCAATCGACAACAAATTTGTTCCTCACTGCTCTTTTAGTTCGTACTACTTCATATCCATGACAGAAGAATACGAGGGCCAAAATTTTAAAAAAGCAAAAAAAAAAAAAAAGGGAGAAATTGTAAAGCAGAAAATGAAAATAATAGTGATATAACAATGAGAATCACAATTCTCTTTTCTTTTCAGTTTTTTCTTTCATTGGGAGGCAGAATTATCTAAGCATTCTATCTATCTAATCGACCCACTGCTAATGGATGAAACTTTGCAAACACCAGCTGATGTGGTCAAAGGAATATCTTTGTAGCAGGCCACCAGGTTTGCGTCCGTGTGGAGATCCACTTGCAGAGTCTCCCATACCTTCTTCTTTGGGTTTAAGACATCATCAGGCTCACCTGTGAATCCGGCAAAGGTAACTCGCTCTCCAACAGTGGCGGACTTTGGTGGTTCGACCAATTCAACCTGGAAAGTGCACCAAAATAACAGCATAAACATGGAAGCCATTTTAGAACCATCAACTTTATCACAACCATTGAAAGTTGATCGAATGAAAAGGATGTCAATATTTTGCCATTTGTTCAAAGAAAAGTTCCTGAGTACAAAGCCTACAACGGTATCTTTTGCAACTGCTAAAGCACCTGACAGCTTTACTCAACAGCACAACATTCCACATCAAGCAGCTACTAACGGTATTATCAGAAGAGAGAGCTAATACAATGCATTGATTGATGCCACTAATGGGCTGTATAATTATTTGCTTACCTTGGTGTGGTCACCGTCTGAAGCAGCAAGAACCATTGCATGGGATTTTATACCCCGCATGGTTGCTGGCTTCAAATTACAAAGAACACAAACCAGCCGGTTCTGCCAAATGATGAATCCAGAGAAGATACGATTAGTAGAAAAATCTTGACCATATAAATATTAAAGTTGTATACACCAAGCACCCCATCTCCTGCAGAGAACACATTCCAATAACTTGAAAATTTTACAAGGCATAAAGCAGACACCTGCATCTCTTCCAGAGGAATATACTTCACAAGTCCACTAACAACTGTTCGAGGCTGGGCTTCACCCACATCAATCTCTTCAACATACAATGAATCAGCATCAGGGTGCTTCTGGGCTTTCACAATTTTGCCAACCCGAATATCAAGTCTTGTAATGGTAATTTCTGTTTCAGCAGTATTAGGCTTTGCCTTAGGGCGAGCAGCAGATGTTGGCTTTTGTTTCTTGCCATCTGTTATAAACAACAGTTTACCCTGACTAAGCACAAATTTGAAATCCACACTTAATGGGCATAAACTTATCTAAAAAGAAGCAATGAAAAGCCAAGAATTGTTTGCCACAGCAAACAGAACAGCTTTTAGCTTAGATAAAAGCTCAAAATGAGCTTCTAGAGACCTAAAGCTAAAGCTCCACAAAAGAGATCCAACATGAGCACTGATAATAAGCTGATATATAGGTTTAATGAAAAATTAATGTACGAAACACCTTTAGTTATTTCAGTCTAACATTAATTTATTTATTTCAAGAAAATGTCCACCTAGACATTTTCTCATAAAGCAACCTTTACAAACAATAAATACAGCTTGGAATCAAATATTACAGCAAAAAGTTTTAACTGGGATACATTCAAGTTTTTTGGAATAAGACTTCAGAGTTTGATCTTTTTGAACTGGCACAATAGGGGGGAAATCTTGGTCAGAATTTCAGAACAAAGGAGGAGAGAGAAAAAAAAAGAAATTATGGTGGAAAAAATAAGAAAGAAATAGAGAGAGACAAACAGAGAAGAGAAGCAAAAACTTATCAGAGCCCAAGAGAGACTGGAGAGTAGGGATCTTATTTTTTGTATTTTGAGTAAGAAAAACAAACTTTATGAAATTTAATCAGAAAATAAACACATTCCTAGAATACATTAGCTCAATTAGTCATTTATAAAAGTTACAAGAAAAAAAAAAACTAGTGCAATTTAATAGGAGTTATAAGTCCATAAACAGATAGCTCTCACAAGAAACCATAGAATGCATCTATGCAGACATCCTCAAACATTAGTTAAATGTAAATCATTCAGAGAAGGCACCGGATGCATGACTTTAAACAAAGGAAACATATTTGACCTGAAATTTCAGTTTTCTTTAGTTGCTCAGCAGTCTTTGCAGCATCTGCTTCTGCCCTAGCACGCCTATCAGCTTGACTTCCAGCATATTGCTCCCTCAGTTCTTCAACTCTTTCAGATTTCTGTCATTAATTAATTTTTATAAGTACGAAAAAAGAGGAAAAGGAAGCACCAGGCTACTCCTTCAACCCCCAAACCACCCCCAAAAAAAAAATAACAGAATGAAAAAGGAGAAGAGGAAATATAGCATAGAAAGGGTAATGGTACCAGTTCCTCGAACAAAGGTTTTGGATGTCCAATTTTATGACCAGCAGGTACTATCTCCCACAGTCTTCTAGTGTTATCAACATCTCCTTTCTCATCAGAAAGCGAAATTTGTTCTCGGGGCAAATTAAGCTGCTTAAACACCTTTAAGTGCACCAAAAAAAATGGAACAAATAGCATGAGACATAAAGTTAAACAACTAGTATTATATGTAGCAAAATTATTTCCGATCACACCAGAAGAAAACCTATGCACCAATTAGATTACCTCAACAGAAAAAGATGGAATAAAAGGCTCCAACAAACAAGCAAGAATATGCACTAGCCCCACTGCAGTTCTCATAACAATTGAACACGAAGGTTGGTCTTCTTTGTAAAGCTTCCAAAATTGGCTTTCCTGAATGGAAATTATCAACAGAACACAGCAGAAAAAGTGATATGAATGGCTGCCATAGCCAGACCAAGCAACAATCCATAACAGAATCACTGAACACATAGGGAAATTAATTTCTAGAACACCTAGAAATTTTCTAAGCTTACTTGCAAATATGCATTTCCTTCACTTGAGATGCTCATTGCAGTTTTTAATCCTTGCTTTAGTTTCACCTGCACAAAATTCAAATATTTGCAAATTTAGAGAATATGAAGAAGCTAAGGGTGACAGGGTTTTAGTTGTGTGTGAAAAGGCTGTCAAAGTTTAACCAGTCACCTTCTCCATGGCTTCTATATATTGCTCCACAAGATTACCAACTTTCTCACTCAATGCCTTTGTCAAGGGATGTGACTCAGCATCAGGAGCATCAGGAATAATGAAATCATATCCTTGACCTGTGGACAGCATGTGTTACTCAAATCCACTGTGCACATTGTTAATTACATGAAGCAGACAAAATGGTTGCTTAATAAGTATCCATTTTCCGAAAGGAATTAAAAGAAAAAAAAATGGTTACAGATACTCAATTAAGAACCAAATTTACTGACCAATTCTCAACCATGCAGACTATTTCAAAAGCAACATCTAATTATTTCAACTGCTGATAATAAGGACTTAGGGGACATTTTTTACCTACCTCTTTATCAATTATCACTTCAACTAAAGGTTAAGAAGAATAACGAAGACAAATCCTGTCAACTTAAAGAAAGCACTACTCCCATAAACTAAACCTCTAGATCCTATCACACACAATACAATTATTTTCCCACCAACTAGAATATATACAAATTTTCAACTCTTATACAAGGTCAATAGCCAAAATTTTAAACGCTAAAGGATTCAAGTCAACCAAATGACTAACCTGAAGGTTTTGCAAGAAAACTCAAAACTCGATTAATGAAGTTGCCCAAATTACTAAGCAACTCATTGTTCAGTTTTGCTTGCAAGTCATCCCATGTAAACAAGGTGTCAGAAACCTAGTATTTTCAAAACAATACAATCACAGAAAGCAATAAGTAGAATTGAAGACCAAATAAAACAGACATAAATGTTGTTAAGTGAACAGGGATACCTCAGGTCTATTGGTTAACAAGTAATATCTCCAAACTTCTACAGGTATTTTTGTATCCTTTACGTCATTGCCAAATACTCCTATTCCTTTACTCTTGGAGAACTTCCCTACAGAAACCAAGAAAATAAATATTAAGTACATCAGGACACTGAAATGTAAAATTTAGGATTTCCCTTGTCTAGCATTCACTAATTCCAACTCAGAATCAATTTATTTCCCTGTGTATATGGCCAAAGCAATCAAATGGTTACTGACCAGCTTCATAATTCAAATACTCTGTAACACTGATGCTCTTCATCAAAGTCCAGTTTTCACCAGTTCCAAGAAGAGTTGATGGGAACATCACCTGAAATACAAATATAGCTGATTCAAAACTTAAAAAAAAATCCAATAAACAACTCCAAAAGACAATAAAATATCAACACATTTAACTATTTTTCTATGACCAGTTTCTACAGGAAGATTTACGGGGAGTGTGCAAAACAATAGAATTAGGTGATGAAAATTGGCATCTAAATTATATATTTTTCATGATTGAGCACTAAAAGTGGAAGACTGTAAAGTCTTGCACGAGAATCATGCTTTCCAACTAACTTTATATGTGCACTATAAATGTAATTTGGGTGTGCCCTTTGTGCATAATGGAAGTCATCCATCATTTTCAAATAGAGCTCTAAAAACTTTTCATTACGATGTAGTAATTTAAAAAAGGCAAGGCAAAAGAGCAAAAAAACAAAGTGCCAAAGAAAAAATGAAACTTAAAAGAAACATCTAAATAATAGTTGCTGAAGAAATGTTAAACCTCAAGTCCAGACATGCCATGTGAAAATTTCACATGGCAAGTCTGACCAAGTAGTGTCCTGACGCAACAGCAAAAAACATCAACACAAAAATGCACCAAACATGGTCTTAATTTTTAAAGAGGGCATCCAACATCCTACAATAATTATGTTCATTTAACAACAGGAAAAAAAAACTCACAAGTAAAATGAATGAAGGGCATAGCATGAAATAAGTAAATTGTGGCCCCTCCAACCCAGATTCCAACTTAGCAATAAATCATCTTGAACTACTTTCATAATTTGATTTCCAAGAGGCAATGGCATCTAAAAATTTTCAACAAATAATAGCATAAAATCCAAGATGAAGCATAAATGAATGTTGCATGAATTCATCTAAGCATCTCCAAGGAGAAAGATATCCATTCATCAGCTAGAATGAAGACGGACCAGAAAACATAGCACCCTTGCTTTGTCATTCAAAATAGTCAAGGCAATTTTGAACATGATACTTACAGTATGAAATGGTACATTATCTTTTCCCATGAACTGAAACAGCTCCACATTTTCAGGATTTTTCCACCATTTCTCCCAATCAGGACTGTAGCATGCAGTAATTGAGACGTAACCAATTGGTGCATCAAACCAGACATAGAAAACCTATCACCACAAGGTTTGAGTGTAGACTGAACCTCAATCAGCACTAAACTTATTTTTACTAACAGAATGCATTAGAAGTAACATCCTTTATCAGATACTTTATCTTACCTTGTCCTTAAAATTTTCATGTGGTACAGGAACCCCCCACTTCAAATCTCTAGTAATACACCTTGCCTTAAGTCCTTCTTTGATCCATGCCTGGGTTGTATTAATAGCATTTTGGCTCCAAGATCCAGCAACTGACATTTTGTCAATGTACTCAACTAATTTACCCTCAAGCTTAGGAAGCTCAAGAAACAAGTGCTTTGTGTCACGAACATGTGGAGTGTTTTGGCAGGCCTGTTTTTAATCAAAGTTTTCAACCTCATCAGTTAATAATTTTCTCTTCAAACTTCATAATTAAGGAAAAAATAAAAATAAGATATAGGAACTCAAAATCAATATTTCATTCACTAGTCTCAACAAACAACAATCAAGCTCAACCACAGGCTATATGCACAATTCTTGAAATAATATCTCTTACAAATTTGAAAAGCAATACTCAATTCAATGCCTTGGCAAAAAGATAACCGGTACAATCCAATTGTTGATTAAAAAAATTATCAATTTTGTTGTTCATCTAACTGTACCTTGCACCTAGGATCTTTCAGTTCAGTAGGATTCAAAAGCTTCCCACACTTTTCACATTGATCTCCACGAGCAGAATCATAATTACACCCTTCACTCGGACAGGCGCCCTCCACAAGCCGATCAGCCAGGAATCGTTGGCATGTGTTGCAGAAAAGCTAGATGCCAAGAGGGATTCAAATCAAATGACACACAAAACAGACATTGCACAGCAATGAATATCAGCTCCAATTGTTGAAACCGTTTAATTTTGCTTATTCAAAACGACCCCCCCCCCCACAAAAAAAAATAAATAAATAAATAAATTTTTAGACACAGAGACAAAATAGATTTTTTTAAAGTAAATAAAATTTCAATTTTATAGATAGCCAAAAGTATGGGCTTATTTCGATGTGCACTTATCATTTTTTGGTCAGTTCTGTCCTTTAATCATTCTACACAAAACAAGGTTTTTTTTTTACTACACTTGTTTGCACTTAGAAGAAATATCTGACAAGAATAGAAACTAACAAAAGTATCAACAAAACAAACTCTTAGGCTCTGTTTGATTTTTTTTTTTCCCACTGACTTTGTACTTCTAGCAGGAAAAAAAATAAAAAAGGTGTACAAACAATATTTTCCAGAATTAAAATTTTCATTTATTCTTAACAAAAAACATGATTTTACTTCTACATGACGCATTATAAAAATCAATATTATATTCTTTCCATATTTGCTTCTACTCCATACTATTAACTCGTGAAGAATACCAAAAAGCAAGTTAAAAAAAAAAGACAACAACCAAATGAAGTCTTTCGCGAAATATAGCTCCCCATACCTGTTGCATTGTATTCTCCGAAAGCCAATTGTTCTCCCATAGCTTCTTGAAAATTGCTTGGCAAACTTCCGTTTGTTCCGGGCTCGATGTTCTTCCAAACTTATCAAAACTTATATCGAACCAATCATAAACTTCCTTATGAAGTGCATGATACCTAAAAGTTCAAATAAATTCAGAAACTTAAATAAACAACCAGGAAAAAGGTAAAGCAGAGTTTCACCAGAAATTCGCGAAAAATTTTTTTAAAACAATTACTTGTCACAAATCTCTTGAGGAGTACAATTCTCCTCCATGGCTTTAGTCTCCGTCGTCGTTCCATACTCATCGGTTCCGCAAATGTATACGGCATTATACCCTCGCAACCGGCAAAAGCGAGCGAAAACGTCGGCGCTTAAGACACCTTTAACAAACAAGAAAAAAACCCTCAATAATTTCGAAAACGCGAAAAGGAGAAAATGAAAACTAGATATTGAAACGATGATAACATACAGCCGATGATGTTGCCGAGATGCGGGACGTTGTTGACGTAGGGCAACGCGCTCGTGATGAGGACGTTGCGTTTCCCTGGGATTGGTAGCTTCGGAGCGGTCTGATTTTGGTCTCCCATTAGCTTTGATTGGTTTTTTACCTACCGCCGGCAAACTTGAAAAATGAGGTCTGAGCTTCTTCTTCTTCTTCTTCGAGTTTTGCGTTTTGCAGTTGCAAATGTTGCAGAAAGGAGAGTATGGGAGCAGATGGAGGCGCTGGGGACTGGCTTTAATCAACGAGGGCACATTTCGTGGGGAGACTAAATGGTGACGGAAGATTAGAATCAAGTGCTTCAGGTGCACGCATAGAAAGACTAAGATTTGACTATGTGAGAGTAAAATTGAACGTGGCGATAGGAGATTGGGTGTGCATTGGGAATTTGCTTTTTTCCCAAGATTCTTTATATTGGCAATTAAGAAAATTCTTATCAAAATATATAAATAAAATTAATAATACAAAAATTGATTAAATGACCTCAGTAATTATTTTATATACTAAAGTCCATATATAATATAACCAATTTTCTTTTAGTTTTCCAAAATCGACACTTCTTATGTTAATGTTTGACAACGGTAAAATAATTTGTTAAGAAACCTTTTTTTTGTAAAATATTTTATTAAAAAAATTAATATTTTTAAATAAATTATCAAAAATATTTTCAGTTTAGTTAGTTTATTATTAAAAAAATATTTTCTATCATGATCTATCTTCAATAATTTTTTACCATATCATTATAAAAATATTAACATTCATCAATTATGCAATACATTTAAAATTTTTTTCAACATTAAATATTATATATAAATAATACTTAATCTTTTTTATTTATTTTCTTTTCATCATATTATTATACCGATTAATTTAAGTTAATAAATCATAAATTAAAAATTAAAAATTAAAAAAATGAAAGAATTTCATGTGTGAAAGTTTTATTTTTATTTTATACAATTTTTTCAATTAATCTTAATAACTAAATGTTATATTAAAGATTGCAATATCTTAATAAAAACAATTATAGTGATATAATATTTATGAAATGATTAAATAAAAATAATGAATAATATTTTATTGAAAAAAAGAATAATAAATAAGGAAAAGTGCACATGAAAAAACTAATTTATACAATTCTTTTTGTTAACTTGTAAAAAACATTTTACCTTTATAAATCAATTAAATTCGTCTACAAGATAATCTTTTTTTTTTTCCATTTTCATTACACTCAAAAAGAATTCCCCCAATTAAATATATCTCTTCCAATAAATAAAAATGTATATTTCCAAATAATGCTATATTAACAGTTAAAAGAGCTCGGCAAGATTCAAAGGCAAGCCACCATTTTGCGTTCAACTTAGGCGATACCAGGGCAATTGAGCATTGAAAGGTCACTCACCCAGTACCTTGGCTGATTCTTGCTTTTAAGCTTTTCACACTGCGTTGCTTTTACAGAGAATATATCATAAGGAAAAGAATTTCCGATCGACGTATCTGATTGGGCAGCCCGAGCTTGATGCTTTTGGGTTTATCAAAGTCTACGAAGGTGGCCTGTCCGTCTCTGTACGTCATGTAAAAGGCATTTGGTTGGTTTCAACAATAAGATTCAAATGTCATCATCATGGTTAAGTACTTAGCATAATATAAGAATATAATATGACGAAGTTACAGAAAAGTGGGAACAAAGTAGCAGTTGGCCCTTGATATAGTAGCTTGATGACTGTCTTTTTATTGCTAAATAGCAGCTTGATGACTTGATTCAAGAATGAGATTCAGAGAACATCATCACCTCTGTTTTTATATTTTTATTGTGTAATAGTAGTTGGATTCTTCCACCTTGATATTCGCATATGCAAACAACTTCAGTAATGGTAGTTGAATTTTATCTACATCAGATAGAAGGTATTGGTAGTGGTCACTGTAGACCAATTTGCACATATAACCTGATAGCAGAACCATTTGAAACGTTTATCTAGCTACATTTGGCAGTAAATATGAGAGAATGCTCTATGAAAGTCTACAGCATTCAAAAATAAAGGGATATGACAAGAATTTTCAGTGGAATAAGGAATGTAGACTACCATCTCATGTTCTGTAGCAGCAGCTTCTATGGACTTGCTTTAGATAATGCTTTTAAAGCATTGGCAATCTCATCTGCTGTTGCTCCACCTTTGACACAGGTGGTCAAGGGGCTATCAACAGGAACAATATCATCTCTCAGGTCAGTTGTTCTGAGCAATCCTTCAGAACCGTTTGCCACAATTTCCTTCATGATCAAAGTCTTATGAGCCCCAGAGATCAATTCTTCGTAATCAGTGTCTCCACTTTCACCAGCAATCACAAACATGTTTGCAACATTCAATCTCCAGCGCACAAAAAGGTACCTAATTATTGAAAGCATCAGGTTAATGAAATGATCAAATCATGAACCAAAAGTGATGATAACCGAGTCTCAATGCAGTGAATGAGGACACTGTAAAGGAGAATGAAAGTGATTAGTTAAATGAACATGAAGTCAATTTAACAAAATCTACAAAGAAAATGTTGAACATAAATTAATTTTCTCATTGCATGAAAACTTTATAAGAAGAGAGCTTCTTGCTAGCTTAGAGTATGCTATACATGCAAGGAACTATCTTGATATCAGCATGGACTCAGTATACATGCTTCAAATCTCCAGATTGACCTTTGATGGTTGATACAGAGTCTTTTAAATGAAGATCTTATGAAATACGAAACCCACCATTCCTCTACAAATAAAACTTTTAAATGAAGATCTTAATGAAACCCACCATTCCTCCACAAATAAAACAGATGACATTGATGACTGGCAAAAAACCACTCGAAAAATTCTCATAAAACAGCCTTTAGTCCTGTGCTCTTGGTCATGAAAACATAACAAAACACATTCTTGATTGAAGTTGTTGAAAGTCCCCTTTCAAAACCCAGAGTGACATAAAAGGCAGCTAACATAGCATTAATCAGTGGCCATTGCTCCCTTAAGGAGGAAATTACAAGCAATTACAAGCTCAAATCCCTCCTTCCCAACTATATTAAGGGAAAAAAAAAGGTTGAAGCACTAAACAAAAGGACCTTTAAAACATTTAAACACCATGGGTGTTTCAGTTCCTGTCTAATAATCAAGGTCCCATCTAAATAAAAGTATCAATTTGTGTAGCTGTACAGAACAGTACCTAAGTGCCTGTGCTCGAGATGCAAGGAGAGGAACGACTTGCATCCTAGTTGAGTTCCTGCAATACATTGGATGGCAACGAAGACCCCGCATCCTAAGCTTCTGCCTCAAATCATCCACTCTCTTTGCCTGCAATAGCAAGCCACTGTTAAAACAAACAAGAAATGAAATTATTTATTTTGTTAGCAACAGTCAAATTGATATATCTACCTTACTGGGATCCTTTACAAAGTATGCAACACAGTGGGCATTGCTCGATTTTACATCTTCCTCAATGGGACTAGGATAAAGACTAGAGTTTTCTTCTTCTTCAGGGGTCATCAACTTCCAAATTGTCTTCTTTAGACCCTCGTAGCCCCAACGATAATCAATATGAGATGCATAATCAGGATCTGGAAAAAGTTTTCCATCTTCTTCTGTGTAAGTTCCAGGGTAATACACTTCACTGCCACTGCTACAGATCAGAGCATCAAAATCATTTACTTGAATCTTTGCTGATTTCAAGAATTCTATTGTTTCTGAGACTGGCATAGCTGTCGATATAGCAAACCCTGTGACTCTTGCAGTTTGAATATCTAGTCGAACAGCCTGAAGTATATCTTGTACAATTTGCACCATCTTCTTCTCAGGGACCCCCTCGCTGTCATAGCAATCAAGTGCAACAACAATCAATCTACGCCGCCTCCTCAAAATTGGATACTTGCTTGCCACATTTTCAAACTTCCCTCCTTCAGTGTCTTTTGAGTTTGTTTCCGGCTTCTTTATCTTGCTTAGGACTCGTTTCACTTGGTCTTGCAGCTCAGGGTCACCAGTGGATGCAGTCACAGGATCAAGGGATCCATTTAGCGAAGATTTGTCCCCATCAACCGAGAGCCTAAGGGACATGTCTTGCACATCTTTAAGTGAGTCATTGAAAGACAATTCTTCAGCAGTGATTTCATCTCCTGGTGTATCTGTTTGCCACTGAGGATGTCTCATTCGACAAGCTGCCACCCTGGTCAAGTAAGTGCGGCAATGCTCAGGCCACGAGTATAGGTGTATATTCTTCCAACCATTCTTTCTGCAGTCATGCCATAAGTTTTTCTCCGAAACCAACTTAAGCAGTGCATCAGCAATTGCTTGCTGATCATGGGGATCCACAAGAAGGCCATTATTTAATGCCTAAAATCATAACAAGCAATATCAAGAATTAGAACTACTATAACATTTCTGAAAATAAATGAGTAGAATGATGGCAAGGGGGATGATCAGAATCTATTGTAACATTTTGAACAAATGGTTGCTATGAAGGTTTTATTTCCTTCTACTCAATCTTCCAGGTGAAAAGTCTATACATGAAATATCTGGCAAGTCTGCCAAGCAATATCTTATGATTGGGAGATAAATTCATAGTTCTTACCCGCTGGATGTCAACGGGTCCACCATTTCTGGTAGCCACCATTGGAAGTCCATGTGCTGCTGCCTACATTATATCAAATAAATTGAGATCAAAATATCATTTCAGTGCACTTAATAAGAAAGCGTCCTGAAAAATTCTGATCCATAGAAACCAACCTCTATCAACGTAAGTCCAAAAGGCTCAACCAGTGCAGGATTTATGAAAACTCCCTGCCATATTTACATCCAGTTACTTAATTATAAAGATAAAACCAAGTCAGGCTAGCTCCAAAATTATGAAGTCTAATGAACCTTCGTGTTTGCTGCAAGTCGATAAATATCTGGTACATCAGACTGTTTGTGATGCTTTGGATAAGCCACCAGCCCATAGAGGTCATACTTATCGATAAGTTTCAATACTGTTATAAGCACACTAGCATTCCCACCAGACATTTCATCAATATCATCCCTGTTCCCCATGATAAGTGTCTGCGCAAAAGCAATTATCATTATTCTTTCCTCCACTATGTAAATCAATTTCTTGCACAAACCAACTTACAAGATTAGCAAGCTCTCGTAGAGGACGACATTCCCCAAATGCTTTCACAAGAGTGGTTATGTTCTTCTTTGGATCAGGTCTGGATAAGGCCAAGATCATTGGCTTGTGGGGATTTGTTAGAAACCTCATTACCTGCCAAATGTATTAGGAAGAGTTA